GGTGACCTGGTACTTTTCTCTTGAAGCTTTTAGAATTCTTTCTTTGTCTTTAAGTTTTAGCCAGTTTGACTATAACGTGTGTTGGAGAGGATCTTTTTGTATTGAATCTGTTTGGGGTCTTTGGGCTTCCTGTATCTGAAGGTCTGCATCCCTCTCTATATCTAGGAAGTTTTCTGTTACTGTTTCCTTGAATAAGTTTTCAATGCCTTTTCCTTTTTTCTCCCCTTCTGGAATACCCATGATTCAGATATTTGTGCACTTGAGGTTGTCTACTAGCTCTTTTAAATTTTCTTCATTTTTTAAAATTCTTTTTTTCCTTTTTCTTGTCTGCCTGGATTATTTCAAAATGACCATCTTCAAGTTCTGAGATTCTTTCTTCTTTTTGCTCTAGCCTGGTGCTCAAGGTTTCTGTTATATTTTTTATTTCTTTAAGAGAATCCTTCATTTCCAGGAGTTCTGTTATATTCTTTTTCAAATTATTAATCTCTTTGTAAATTTCTTCCTTCATATCCTCGATATTTTTTCTTGTTTTATTGTGTTCTCTAGTTGATTCTTCTCTTATTTTTTGGATTTTTCTTAAAATCAGTGCTCAGAATTCCTTTTCATACATCTTGAGGGTTTCTTGCTCTATAGGGTTGGTACTTGGGAATTACCATATTCCTTTGGTGATGTCATATCTTCATGTTTATTTGTAGCTCTAGTATTTTTATGCTGATGCTTGGTCATCTGGTAGAACACTCAATTCTTCTATCACTCTGGAGCAGGTTATGAGAGAGAAGACTTCCTCCTCTGTTTGTAGGATCTGCTGGTGACTCTTCTTTTATCAATGCATTTGAGTGTGAGGTGGGCTGCCTTGGCTCCTGTACTGTCAGTGAGCAGGTCCTGCTCATGCTCACTTGGAAGGCCTGTGGGGTGGTTCAGTTGGACCTGTGAACCCCTCCACTGCTCACTCAGGTGTGGGAGAGCCCTGTAGCTGCATTGGTCCCACAGGCCTGGCATGGCTCGGGTCCTGTGCACTTTCACCTGGACGGCCTGTGCAGTGGTTAAGTGGGGAATGCAAGACGCTCCAGTGCGTGTTCAAGTATCTAATCTCTTTTAGTTGTATTATATCTGCTGTTAAACACATTAATTTAACTTTTTGAGTTTTCTATTCTTAGATTTTCATTTTTCAAAATGATTAGTCTTTCTTTAGTTTCTTCTCTGTACATATTTTAAAGCCATTATTTATTTCTTTAAATATGTAGAAAAACATGGCTAGTTTATATTTTGTGTCAAGTAACCCCAATATCTGAAATTTGTTGGTCTGTTTCTGTTGTTTGTTGATTGTTTTTCTTGGTTCATAGTGCCTTGTTTTCTTTTTGTGTTTTAAACCACTTATTCAGGTATGATTGACATAGAAACAGCTTGTAGTTGATTGAATTATGTCCCTCCTAAACTCACTGAAGCTTGAATTGCATTCCTCAGGTTTTATATATTAGAAACTTGGCTCCTACTGTGACTGCTAAGAAGGTGGGAAATCCTATTATGGTAATTGAAAGGTGGAGCTGTGAAGAGGTAATTAGATTGTAGGACCATGCCATAGTGAATGGATTAAAAATGGTGGTCAAGATGTGGTTCCGAGGGCTTTAAAAGAAGAGAGGGGAGAGTGCATCTCTCTCTGCTCTGCCATTTTCACAATATGATACTCTGCCATCACTGTCACCACCACCAAGACCCTCACCAGCTGTGTTCCCTGGACTTTGGGCTTCCTAGCCTCAGCAACTGTAAGCAGTAAATTTCTTTGTCTTTATAAATCACCCATTTCCAAGCATTTTGTTATAAGCAACAGAAATGGAATACTACACAGCTGTATGTACTTAATGTATACAAGTTTATAAATTCAGAGATAAAAATATACCCGTGAAATCATCACCGCAGTATATACCATAAACATATCCATTGTCTCCAAAAGTTTTCTCCTGCCCCACTTATTTATTTATTTATCTATTTTTTTTTTTTTGTCATAAGAACACTTAACATAAGGTCTACCCTGTTAGTAGAATTTTAGGCATACAATACAGCATCATTAACTATAGCCAGTATGCTGTACAGTAGATTTCTAGAACATATATTATTTTGCAAAACCAAAACTTTGTGCCCTTTGACTAATATCTCCCCATTTCCCCTTTGTACCAGCCCGTAGGAACTATCATTCTATTCTCTACTTCTGTAAGTTTGAATATTTTGGAGTCCTCATATAAGTGGTCATGTAGTGTGTGTTCTTCTGTGTCTGTCTCATTTCACTTAGTCTAACATCATCCAGGTTTATATATTTTGTCCAAAATGACAGGAGTTCCTTCTTTTTTAAGCAATGCTTGATTTTTTCATGTGCTTACTGAATTTTGACTATGACCATGAATTTCAATGAAAAAAATGTGCTTTTGAAATTCATGAAGATTTGGTATTAATGTGAGTTTCTTCAGAAAGTATGTGCATTTTGCTTCTTCCAGATCCTAGAATAACGTCAGTTTGGGACTATTTAAACTAAATTCTTAGTTTAAGAGTTTTCTGAGGACTTAAGCACTATAAATTTGGACTTTAAGTCTATATGATAGTCAGATTATGGATTCAACTTCTCAGGGATATTGCCTTCCTATGCTAAATTACCAAGTTTTAGATGGATTTTCATGTAATCTTTGGCAAAAGTCAGTGATATTTCTAATTCACTTTTTTGTTAAGGATAGAACCCTTTTGAGTATCTTGATTTAAAAGGAGAAAGATCTCTGCTTAGACTCCCCATAGGCAGACCCTGGAATGTTTCTCCTATACCCCATATGCCACAAGGCCACGAAAACTGAAACACAAGTTCACCTAGTTTGGCAAATGCCCTCAAATTTCTCTTACCTCTTTGGTTTCCATCATCACTTAGTGTCTGGCTTGAATATTTCTTACTTTCCAGCTCAACAGTGCTCTTGAGAAAAATTTTTGAAGGTTTTATCTAGCATTTTAGTTGTTTGTAGCGGGAAATTTAGTAACATTTTTTGCTATCTTAACAGGAATAGAAATTCCCTTTTCCTTTTTAGTCAATTTGGATGGTTTCTATTATTCTAGAAAATTATCTATAGCACTTACATTTTTTTTCAAAATGATTGGCCTAAATTTGCTTACCATATTCTCTCACTGATTTTAAAATCTTTACTGTATCTGTGTTTATGGCTCAATTTTTATTTATAATTAATTTGTAATTTTTCTCTCTTTTTCTAACTTGGTCAGGCTGATGGTGAATAAAGACAAATAAATGGGCTATTAAGATATGATAAAATCTATAAAGATTAGATCTATGAATGTAATAAGATCTATGAAGTTTTATGAGTGTGTTATGGAAGTACATATAAGAAACATTTCGTCAAAATTTAATGGGAAAATGTATGTAGAGCTCTTAGCATGGTGTCTCATACTTGGAGTTCAAAATTTTAAACTTTGTGGGATTAGGAAAATCTTTCTTAGAGGAAAGAGACGATAGAAATTATCCAGGCAAAGGAGATCAGTGGCTGAATGGGAAAAGTTGATTAGTATAGATAAAGCCTACAGCAACTAAATAAACATTAATATAAAGAAAGCTTAGAATCTAAGAGTGAGTGTGGCAAGAGGTGAGGCTGGAGATCTAAGAGTGGGACATATCATTTATAGCCTGGCAGACATAATAAGGAACATGAACTTTATCCTAAGAGCAACAAAATCATTGAAGTATTTAAATTACAAAAGTGTCTTGATTATATTTATGTTTTAGAAATGTAACTTTGGTTGCTATATAGAGAGCAGTTTAGATGGGGTCAGTGGTAGACACTAGGAGAGCAGACAGTGGTCTATTGAAGGGCTAAGGGCAGGAAATAAAATGAGGATAATGATGGATTTGATCAAATTTTGTAGGTGAATCTTCAGAACTTGATGACTGACTAGTTGTTGGGGGTGAAGGGCAGGCTAGAGTTAAAGACAAAGCCCAGGTTTCTTGCTAGAAAAACTGGGTAGTGATGTTATCATTCACTGAATGGGGGACAAAGAAGAGGAGCAGGTTTGGAAGATGCAATACTGAGTTTCATCTTGTTCATGTTGAATGTGAGATACTTTTGATACCGTGATACTCAAGAGAATGTTTACTCTGCTTGTTCAGTGCCTCGCAAGAATGCAAAAGGTACAGGTTTCCCTACAGACTACCACTGAAGTGACTAATTTCCCTTAAAGGGAGATGGAAGATCCTACACAAAACTTCAAGAACAGAAACCAATTCTTCATCCCTTTCTCTGACTCTTCTACATTTGGCTCTATATTAAATATGTTCCAATTTTCTGCTTTACAAAGTATTGTTATAATATTGACCATTCAATTTAGGTTCTTTTCCTGACCCAACAAACATGATGTGGTTGGCAACTCTTAGGTGGCCTCTAGTGATCTTCCCCTCTCGCATTCCCACCCTTGTGTAATCTCACTCACCCTCCCCACCCCGCCTTTGAGTATGAGCTGAACTTTTTAACTCACTTCTGAGGAATAATATACAGCAGAACTGATGTGCTGGCACTTCTGAGTTAGGTTATAAAAGGACTGTAGCTTCTATTTTGGGTATCTCATGTTCTCTCTTTGATGTCTCGCTATGGGAGAAGCCAGCTGTCATGTCATAAGGCAGCCCTATGCAAAGGCACATGTAGCAAAGATCTGAAGCATGCTAACATCCAGGTGAAAGCTTAAAAGTGGATCCTTTTCCAGTTGAGGCTTGAAATGACTGCAGCCCTAGCTGACATTTTGATTCCAGTTATATGAGAAACTGTGAACCAGAATCACCCAGATAAACTGTGCCCTGATCTCTGAACCACAACAACCATCGGATAGTAAATGTTGTTCTTAGGCACTGAATTTCAGAGTAATTTGTTATGCAGCAATAGATAACTAATACATCTGGTTTGTTGGCAAGGTAATCAGTCTGCATCATGGAAGGAATGTTTGAGATTAAAAAAATGAGAATGTTGTGGTTGATACCATAAGCTATTTTATTTATTGAAGACTTAAAATAGTACATTAACATAACTTTATCTGATGGAGAAATAACATCAGAACTCTTCTGAATGTGATTATCAGAGGTACTGGTGCTGCTGAGTTCTTTCATGGCTATGTAAATCAAAGCCTAAGAGACTGATTGAAGTCAGGATATGAATCACTGGCTAGTCCTTTCTGGAAAGACTTAGAGTAAATCAATAAGGCCCTTTAATAAGGAAATTGAAATGAAACCTTGACCTTCGGAGAAAGAGTTCTCTGTCACTCCTCTAGCCATGGCCCCTAGTCATAAAGAAGCAGAAGGTTGTGACAATGATCCAGGGAGTCTAGCCCCAGAACTCCCTTCGGCTTGTCCCTTTCTTTACCTTGGAGAGCAGACTGGGCATAATTTAGAGGCTGGAGACTGATTCAACAAAGGGAAGATGCAAAAATTTATATCTTGGACCCACCCTTTGATGGTAAGCCACCAATGCCACAGATTCTATGGCCTCTCATGTGTAAAAAACTCTCGGGTATTAGTTTCACCACCTTGAAAGACATGGCTGCTGCCATCAGTGGGTGAAAGTTTGTCTTTTTGACTGAAGTGATAAGTATACACTTCTCTGGTTGTAGAAAACAGGGATCCAAACAGGGAAGAGTTGGGAGGAGGACATAGACAACTCCAGCAGGTTATCATTTAGGGCTTCATACTATAAGTGGTTTTGAATTCCCAGAGGTGAAACAAGGCTTTCCAGCATGAAGGAGGTGCAGGTCACAGCCCTAGCGACTGGCTGGTTTTATCAATCTGGCAGTTCAGGGTCAGTGCAAAGGACATCCCCAACACCTGAGAAAGAATTGGGAAAATGTGAGGTTTTTATAAGAGGATCCATTCCTCCCACAACTTCTGGGATTGGCCCCAGACAAAGAAAACATGTTCATCACACCAAAAACACTCTTCCCACCATCACTTCCAATTTCCTCTCAGGAGTTCTCTCCTTTAGTTTAAGAATAGCAGCAGGGAGAGAAGTGGAAGCAATAATGGCAAGATAGAAGAGTATAAAGTATTGGGAGGGTTTTTTTTTTTTTTGTCTTCTTAAGAAGTCACAGAAGCCCAGCTGCTGGTATAGTCAAATTCTGCTTACTGAACTCTGTGTGATGAGTCATCTCTACCCATTCCCTATGCCTCCTTTGTTTCCAAGCAGAGAAAAATAATTTTTCTCTGAGCTTTGGACTAAGTTTTTGCTAATCTGTGATGTACCCAACACTTGGGTAATAAATTATTAGAAATATTATGTAATAAAAAAGGACACAAAACTACCTCTAATTCACTCTTTACTTGTCAAACTAAGCACAAAAGCAAAGAGGAAATTGTTTATAATTTTCATCATCAATTCCTTCTTAGCATACAAGGTGAATTTTTTAAGTGGATTTTTTCATCAACACCATTGTTTCCCCATCAGCTCATCATAGATATTTAGGAATTACATTTTATAAGATGGTATCTTTATATTAATAACTTTGAAAGAGTAGATAAAATGCATGACTTTCTAAAAAGCTATATAAATTAACAAAATTAGCTCAAGAAGTAGTAGAAAGTGTAAATATGCTTTTTTCTTTTTTTTTTTTTTTTTTTTTTGTCCTTTTTGACACCGGCCGCACCGCGCTCAGCCAGTGAGTGCTGTGAGCACACTGGTCATCCCTATACAGGATCCGAACCCACAGTGGGAGCGCTGCTGCGCTCCCAGCGCCGCACTCTCCCGAGTGTGCCATGGGCTCGGCCCTGCTTTGTGGCTTTTAATATGACTGTCAACCACTCATTTCTCTAAGGGATAAGTTGACCAGATACATGTTCTTTTTTTTTTTTTTGTCAATATACAATGTGGTTGATTATTGTGGCCAATTACCGAAACCTCACTCCCCACTCCCTCCCAACAATGTCAGATACATGTTGTTATAGCATATTTTCTGTATGCCTTCAAGCAAATTGGTAATAACATCATTTGCTACCTGACTGGGTAAACTTATATACTGATAAAAATAGCTGACATTTATTGCACACATACTATGTACCTGGTACTATTCTAAAACCTTACATAACTTCACTCATTTAATCCTCACAATAGTCCTGCAGTTAAGCTCTTACCTGGATCACACATACACAGATGGTGATGATTCCAATATACAAGAAATTGGACTGAAACCACAGTCTTGCTTTCATGAAGCAACCCTAGAAAAAATTACAGGTACAAATGATACTACTTTATAATTCAACTTTATCAGGAAGATTTTTTGGGAAGATAGTTTGTATTTTGCTTCATGTAATACAAAGAGACCTAGGTCAGGTATTTGGTTTTTATTTTCTTTGTATGAATGAAGAAATAGGCATAAAGTAGAGAATATTTAACTAGAGACATCTCTAGTGTTGTCATCTTTACAGTGGCACTGAATATAGAAGTCCTAGATCCTTACCCACTGATTAAACTAGTTCCCAAGAAGCAGGTCAGCAACAGAAGTCCTTATGTTCTCTGAACACTCAGTGCCGACCTAAGATTAGCAAATGGGAATATAGGCTATGCAATCCTAAGACTGGTATGCATTTCAGTTTCTGCTTCAACACACAGTAAATCTATCATAACCCTACCAAACTCCAGGGCAGTTGTTGGTTGGCAGGTTCAGATCTTTCTCCACAGACCTGAAAAATTCTGAAAATTTTCAGACAATTTCAGGATTGGGTAACATGGGGTGAGGAGAGAACCTTAGAAATATGGTCTAGTTGGAAGATGATTTTGGCTTCTTCTCTGAGGCTATTCTGGAGGTCCAATTGAAGTGGGCAGGTTGTTTCAGCAGTTCCACCAACTCTCTCTCTCCCAACTCCCTACTCCTTCACTTACCATTCATTTTACTAAGGGAATGAATCCTTCCATCTCCAAGGAAGAAGAGAAGAGAAACAGAGGGAAAAACTTTTCTACCCCAACCATATAAATTTCACTTTCAACTATAAGGAGACCTACTTCTTGCAAATATCTAGACACAACCCTCTGCCACTTAACACAACATTTCCCCTTCTAATGTAATAGGCAAGATTCTTCACAGTGTCTGTCTATAGTCTAAACGAACATGTTCCTATGTACTTCTGATTTTCATAGTTGCCTAGGGTTGTCCCCCTGTTCTATCTTTTGTTCAGGGTTCCCTGTTTCTAGATGGGAGGTCTAGGTCCTCTATGACTGCAGTTTCCTAGGTAATTAAAAGTTTAAACAAAGAAGCCAATAGCAGAAAAGTTGCAAACAAAATTACCTGAACTAGTGGATCTGAAGGGCAAGATGCTGGCAGGCTGCTGGTCCAATCACTCGTGCCATTTACACCACAACACTGCAGCTAAAAGCCAATCCCCCAAAATGTGATGGTTAGACAGTCAACAGAAAAAAAACAGCAACTGTGGAGTTGGAGAAAAAGGTGAGCCCTTCAGATTTGACTCTAGCAGAAACTCAGAATTGGCCTGACTACTTTGGGCTCCTTGAAACAAAGTGCTTTCAAATCTGCTATACCATTTCATTCACGTAAGACCCTGTGAAGTAGAGAGGGCATGTTTAATATATTCATATTTCACAGCTCAAGAATGAGGCACCAAGGGGATTTTATAATGGAAGAATCAGGCTGACCAAACTTGGACTCACCAGCCAGTTTTAAGATCACAGAAAGTAGGACAATCAGTCCTTCTCTGCCTGCTAACATTATGCAACTGGAAGTGCCAACCACGGCAGTCTTACCACAAAACAGAAACTGCATCCAACCTCTAGATTCACAGGGTTTATGGGAAACAAACTCTGCCTGATGCCAAAATACCTTGAGGAAGCAACTAGCCAGATCCAGAAAGTGGGGAAGTCTACAGGACAAATAACCTAATTTCCCTCCACAAACAAATAGCACGAACACAGAGGGATACTATTATAGATTAAAAGAGAATTAGAGGGACATATTATCGAAATACAACATGTGAACTTTGTTTAGATCTTGATTTAAACAAATCAATTAGAAAAAGGTTGAGAAAATTAGGGAAATTTGATTATAGACTGTTTATTAGTGATAGTAAAGAATTATTATAAAATTTTAGGTGTATTAAAAAGTTATTTTTATATTTAACGAGTGAAATGGTACCATGTCTAGCATTTGCTCTAAAATGCTCTAGCAAAAAAAATGTGCTGGGGATTAGATAAGACAACACTGGCAAAATGTTAACTGTTGAAACTGGGTGATATGTACCTGGAGATTCATTTTCTTATTTATTCTCTTTACTTCTGTATATGCCCTAAAATTATGTAATAAAAAGGTTTCTAAACTGAATTTTAAAAAAATAAAGAATTGGGGATCTGGAGAGGTTAAGTGACTTCCCCAAGGCCACCCAGTTCTGGTCTCTGGGCTCTAATTCCTGTGCCATTTTTTTCTATTCCACACTAAACTGCCATGTGGTCATAGTGGTATTGTTTGAGACAGAGCTTATGCCAGTGCGAGGCTCCCTGACTCTTCTTTATCCCCCAACACACCAAGGCAGGAACGCAGAGTTAATATATATGTTAGTGGGTGGTGAAGGGGCATGAAGAATGGGGTGCTTGGAGGCTGGGTAACAAGACCGATTTAGGCAACTTGGGACTTCAGTAAAGATTTCTTGTATGGCCGGCCCGGTGGCGCACTTGGTAGAGTGTGGTGCTTGGGAGTGCGGCGGCGCTCCCGCCAAGGGTTTGGATCCCATATAGAGACCGGTCCGCTCACTGGTTGAGCGCGGTGCGGGCGCGACACTGAGGGTTGCGATCCCATTACCAGTCACGAAAAAAGACAAAAAAAAAGGAAAAAAAAAAAAAAAGATTTCTTGTATTATGCAATTGCTGTTTTCAGTAAAATTTTTGGAAAATACACAGACTAGTCCAGTGTTTGGCTCATCCTCACATTCTAGTAGGGCTTAAACAATAAGCCTATCTGAGTTGGTAAAGGATGAAAGAGAGAACGTGGGAGACTTTGTACCAATCAGACTAACTCCTGTGCTCCCCTGTTTGTGACCGCAGAAGCATTACTCTGGATCTCCTGGCCATGGACCTTAGATTTTGAAACTTCCAGGAAAGGAATTAACCCCCAGGGACTGAGGCTGGAGAACGATGTCTGGGCTGATCTGTACTCACAAATGACTGGATGGAGTCCCACGCTGCCTTGGTGCTGTTGTCTGAGTAGTAACGTTGGATGCTGTCTGTCAGGCCCTCGGCCACATAATCATTCAGCTGGGCAGGGAACATTCCAGCAGAGGAGACATTGTAAAAAGCAGGTGAGTTTAAGGAATAAGGAATTTCTAGTATAGGCTAGTGGTTCCACTTGCTCCTCCCTTCCAAATGGACTCCTCAGAACTAAGGAAGTGAGAGGAGGGAGTTCATATATGGGAAGCAGTGCTGAGGGTGAGATGGCATTAAAGAAAGAAGTAGACAGTGGGTTCCCATACTTCCAGGACTCTGGTTTTACAAAGGAGGAATGGGGGCAGTCAAAGCCAGGGTTATCCTTAGGAACTGAGACAGACGTTTCCTACTACCAAATACACAGAGTAAGTAGAAGGAAGATAAGCTTGTTTTACTGTTCTTTTCAGTCATCTTTCAAGATTTCAGTCATCTTTCAAGGTACCACTCAAATACAATCTCCCTTGTGAAATGTTTTCTCTTTCTGATGACAATTCATTTCTCTTTCCTCCACCTCTCTACTTTATTTCTATTATAGAACTTATTTTTTAACAACTTCTTCTCCACTGCATACTCCCCACTTTAGCAATGAGTCGTGTTCCTTATAACTTACCTTCTGTTCATACACGAAGAGCAGGATGGCCAAGATCACCTCAGCAAGGAGGATAATCAGCAGCAGGACAAAGAACTAGGACAAAGCAGAGACACATTCACAGCACTGATCTCAGTTCTTGTCCCACTCCCACTCTGCCCTAGGAGCAGCCAGTGGGGCTCTGCACATGTGCAGGATGTTCCTGTTCCTGTCTCCTTGGGCCTTTGTAAGTGTTCTCTTGTTTTGTGAGGAATGTGTGTTCTTTTCCTACAAGTGGACTCTAGAGAGAAGGTCAGTTGTTTTCTAACTTTGTTCTCTTCTACCCATTGTGACTATCAGAGCACCATACACATAACACATATTCAACACCATCTGTTGAATAAAAGAAGCAATTTTGGCATAAACCTATTGACACAGTTGAGCAAAAGGCCAGTAAGCCAAACCGTGTGTCTTTAGAGTTTGGGGCCTTCCCTTTTGTCCATATCAGGGCTAGGTTAGGGTGGAGGGCTGGTTGTGCTGGAGGTTGAGAAGAGCCCTATACAGATGGGAAAAAGAGGGACTCCAGTCATGGTTCTAACTCATATTTGTCTCCACCTTTAGATGCCTGCTCTCTTTATGCTGATCACATACAACAGAAAACAGGTTTTCACTTATTTCTTCTCTTTCACCTCTTTTACCCCAATACTATTTTTGACTGCTTAAAACCTGTACCTCATGTCTGTTTTCTCCCATCTTTTGCCATTAGTCCAAGAACTATCTGAGAACAGAGTTATTTTACTTTTTCTCCTGGCTCCAGTTATACACTTAATTCATAAGGGAGAGAAGATTAACTAAATGACTTAAGGAAGAATCTAAGTGATTGGGAATCCATTCCTGTGGATAGAGTGGCACTCATACCAAGCTCTGTTCTGGGCACACTAGAGAAACGTGGGGCTCTTCTTTCATAGTGCTTACAGGCAAAACCTCAGCCTTGAGGTGCTCCTCCAGAGAGTTAACTGACAGGGAACAACTGAAAAGCTCTAGCATCTCTCACATTAGACCTCAGCGGCTGCAGCCTAGGCCCACTCCTAAGACAGGTCACTCACATTATGGAGTATCTTGTGCAGGTATGAGTTAAGGAAGCATCCTCTACTATTTTAGGAGGGTAACCATGCTCAGAAGAGTTTAGAAATTATTTTTCCATTAGTTCCTGACTCTGAGTCAAATTTCAAAATTACGACACTTGATTTCAACCAAACATGAAGAAAAAATAAAATGCTGTAAAGGGAAATTATAATGACAAGGGTCATGATGAACAGTGTAAATGGATGCCAAGGAGGACAGCAATGTCCTCGCCTACATATCTCTGGACCCCCGTCAGAAGCAAAATTCTGTTGGTCTGGACAGATTCAGCTGCTCTGAGGTGCAAATCCTCTGATTTCCATGTTCTTCTGATTTCCCTGTACCTACAGGTGATCTACCAAGAAACGTCTTGCCCGGGACTTAGGCATCATTTCCCCCCACTTAAGATACAACATCTGCTGTGAGGACTCACCGACATAAGAAGGCACTTGTTCTCCTTGATAGAGCCCATGCAGCCCAGGAAGGCAACCACCATGATAATGGAGCCCACGATGACGAGCACATTGCCCAGCGTGAGGAAGGGAAGCTTGTGAAAGAGCACTCCAAAGTTGTTGTGGATCAGGAGGTAGATCCCAAAGCCCAAAATGCAGCAGCCACAAAACTGAAAGGAAAAATCCCACAACATTGTGAGGCAAATGTGTGGTTCTTGAATGTCCTCTCATATTCTCACTTCCTTGAGGTCAGAATCAACTTTTTTCCATTGGTTCAATCAATACTCCCATGAAAAATCTCTCTACCCAGCTTCCCCAGGATCCTAGAGAAGAAGCAGTCCCAGCTTCCCCCTGTGGAGACCCACTCACACCTCTTCCTACTCATGTCCAGATACCAAGGAAAGCCCACTCCTGTGAGCCACACAATATATTCAACATATATAGGCCTGACTTCATGCTTCAGATCCCCTCAATTGCTCATATATGGCTTCCCTTTGGAAGCCATGACCATGTAGAAGAAATTCCCTGCTAGAGGAAGCTCATCTTGCTAGGCAGAAAACTGGAGAAGCCAAACTTATAAGAATCTTCTTATAGACAAGTAAGTACCAACCCATCCTATATCTAAAATTCATTTTCTAAGTTTGGTACAGTGAAACCCCCGCAGAAAAGTTATTCTTTCAAGGGGGCCAAAAAAAAAAAAAAAAAAAAAAAAAAAGTAATGAAGATGAACTCAATACCCAGAATACAAAGTTGCAGGTTTCTCACCTGTAGATGTCAGCTGTGAGCAGTAGTAGCCTAAAGCCCCCAGAGGGAAATGGCACCTCCATTAATAACTGCACTGGTACCTTTCGATTTTGCAGGCTTATATTGTGGCAGGATGGGAAGGTGGGGGAAGAAATGGTTACTTCTTTGTTCCTAGGATGGGTGTGGGGACATGACTCGGGCATGCATGGGCTGCATTCCACACCAGCCTCTTCAGTGGAGGAGAGCTTACCTGGGGGAGGTGAGCTCAACTCTGCTCAGAAGAGACACACTTACCCAAAAGAGCAAGTTGAAGAAAAACAGAACATACTTCAGCAATTTCAAGCTACTCATGCCCATGCTGGGACGTTCTCGCCCTAAAAAGTAGAAGGTAGAAAAGAAGAAGTAAGTGACCAGGCTCTAAGGATCTCCAGCATCACCTTGGATTTGAGGTATTGTTCTCCTCTGGAAAGTTCCCCCAAACTCTCTGCTCTCTTAGATGTGCTGTCTTAGTCTCAAGACCGTAGAGCAGACAGAGGGAGCCTGGCAGACTCCCTCGGTTGAGTACACACAGCTGAGATTCTGAGGAGAACAAGGCAGCTAGAGTTCGCAAGACAGAGTAATGTCAAAGAGAGAGCTGCAGAGAGAGCAAACCCCAGAGATCTGCAGACGATGCCTGTATTAGTTTCCTATCATTGCTGTGACAAATTACCACAAACTCATGGCTTAAAACAACACAAACTTCTTCTCTTATAGTTCCAAAAATCAGATGTATGAATTCAAGTTGTTGGCAGGGCTGCATTTTTTCTGAAGGGTTCAGGGAGAAAATCAGTTTCCCTATCTTTGTTGCCCTCTAGAAGTCATTTACATTCCTTGGTGTTTTCCAGGCATCATCCAGCCTCTTGCTTTTGTCATCATATCTGCTACTTCCCACTCTTATCTTCTGCTTCTTTCTTATAAGGACCCACATGATTAGATAAGGCCAACCCAGACAGTCCAGGACAATCTTCCCATTTCAAGATGCTAAATTTAATCGCAACTGCAAAGTCACCTTTGTTCTATAAGGTGCGTGGACATATTTGGAGGCCTATTATTCAGCCTACCAAAGCTCCCATTAAGAGTTTAGCTGAGTACTGATCAGGACTCACACGTAAAGAAACTAGCCATGGTTGGGTATCATAAGAACAGTGCCTGGAATTGGACAGAGCTGGTGCCTGTTCCCACCAGCCAGACTGGTAAACCTCTGTAACAAGATAAAGTTTTTAGAAGGGTCTTGCCTCAGTGTTAGGCAATAAATAGCTCTAGACTGAACACTGCCCTGGTTCCACCCTACAAATCTTAAAGTCAAGGCCCCAAAGTATCAAACACTTTCCAAGTAACTTAAAGTACATCCCAAAACAGAGATCAGTAAGATTTATAGTAATGACAAAATACTGAGCATCCAGTGAGGTAAAATTTACATCTGGATTCACTCAAAATACCAGACAAACAAGAAGCAGAAAAGTGCAGTCCACAATGTGGAGATAAATTAAGAGTTAAAACTGCCTAGATGGAAGATTAGACATTAAACCAGATTCATCTTTTCACAAAAAGTAAGTAGAGACATGGAAAATATAAAAATGACTCAAATCAAACTTTTATTTATTTATTTATTAAATGTTATTTTATTTTGTCAATATACAATGTGGTTGATTATTGTGGCCCATCACCGAAACCTCCAACCCTCCTCCCTCTCCCCCCTCCCTCCCAACAACCTCCTTTCTGTTCGCTTGTCATATCAGCTTCAAGGAATTATAATTGTTGTGTCTTCTTCCCTCCCTCCCGAGTTTATTTGTGTATTTATTTATTTATTTTTAGCTCCCACAAATAAGTAAGAACATGTGATATTTCTCTTTCTGTGCCTAACTTGTTTCACTTAATATAATTCTGTCTAGGTCCATCCATGTTGTTGCAAAGGGCAGTATTTCATTCTTTTTTATAGCTGAGTAGTATTCCATTGTGTAGATATACCACATTTTCCATATACATTCATCTGATGATGGACATTTGGGCTGGTTCCAACTCTTAGCTACTGTAAAGAGTGCTGCAATGAACATTGGAAAACAGGTATACCTTCGACTTGATGATTTCCATTCCTCTGGGTATATTCCCAGCAGTGGAATAGCTGGGTCATATGGCAGATCTATCTGCAATTGTTTGAGGAACCTCCATACCATTTTCCATAGAGGCTGCACCATTTTGCAGTCCCACCAACAATGTATGAGAGTTCCTATTTCTCTGCAACCTAGCCAGCATTTATCATTCTCAGTCTTTTGGATATTAGCCATCCTAATTGGGGTGAAATACTATCTCAGTGTGGTTTTGATTTGCATTTCCCAAACGCTGAGTGATGTTGAGCATTTTTTCATTTGTCTGTTGGCCATTTGTATATCTTCCTTGGAGAAATGCCTATTTAGATCTTTAGCCCATTTTTTAATTCGGTTACTTGTTTTTTTCTTGTAAAGTTGTTTTAGTTCCTTGTATATTCTGGATATTAATCCTTTGTCAGATTTATATTTTGCAAATATTTTCTCCCATTCTGTTGGTTGTCTTTTAACTCTGTTAATTGTTTCTTTTGCTGTGCAGAAGCTTTTTAGTTTGATATAATCCCATTTATTTATTTTTCCTTTGGTTACCTGTGTTTTGGGGGTCATATTCATGAAGTCTGTGCCCAGTCCAACTTCACAAAATGTTTCTCCTATGTTTTCTTTAAGAAGTTTTATTGTATATTTAATTATTTAATCCATTTTGAGTTGATTTTAGTATATGGTGAGAGGTATGGGCCGAGTCTCATTCTCCTGCATATGGATATCCAGTTATCCCAGCACCGTTTGCTCAAGAGGCAGTCTCTTCCCCAGTGTATAGGCATGGTGCCTTTGTCAAAGATCAGATGGCTGTAGGTATTTGGGTTGATTTCTGGATTTTCCATTCTATTCCATTGATCAGTGTGTCTGTTTTTATGCCAGTACCATGCTGTCTTGGTTATTATAGCTTTGTAGTATAGTTTAAAGTCAGGTAGTGTTATGTCTCCAGTTTTTTTTTCCCCCCTCAGGATTGCTTTGGCTATGTGTGATCTTTTGTTATTCCATATAACTGTCTGGATAGTTTTTTCCATTTCTGAGAAAAATGTCATTGGGGTGATAGGGATTGCATTGAATTTGTATATCACTTTGGGTAGTATGGACATTTTCACAATGTTGATTCTTCCAATCTAAGAGCATGGGATATCTTTCCATCTTATTGTGTCCTCTTTAATTTCTCTCAGCAGTGGTTTGTAGTTCTCATTACAGAGATTTTTCACAGCATTGGTTAACTCTATTCCTAAGTATTTTATTTTTTTGGTGGCTATTGTAAATGGGCTAGATTTCTTGATTTCTCTTTCTGCGTGTTCACTATTGGAGAACAGAAATGATATTGTTTTGTGTGTTGATTTTGTATCCTGCTACTTTGCTGAAATCATTTATCAACTCCAAGAGTTTTTTTGTAGAGGCTTTAGGCTGTTCAATATATAGGATCATGTCATCTGCAAACAGAGACAGTTTGACTTCATCTTTTCCAATCTAGATGCCCCTTATTTCCTTCTCTTCTCTGATTGCTCTGGCTAGTACTTGCAGCACTATTTGAACAGGAGTGGTGAGGGTGGCCATCCTT